CCCCCCTCTCTCTCTCTCCTGTTTTTCTTAGAGGTTATCCAGATAGTACTGATAAAATTATTCTGATTTGCACCTGGGATCAATTTGGCCTTCTTCTGATAGTTATTCATTTTAACAGGTGAGGTATGTAATGAAATGTGTATTTGGTGACCCAAAGAAAGCTCCACCTCCACTAGAAAAGCTTAGGCCTGAAGCTGTAGTTTCGGTTCTCTGGAAAGGGGAGGGATCACTTGTTGAAGAATTACTGCAGTGCATGGCTCCTCATATGGAAGAGGGACTACTAAATGATTTCAAGGCAAAGATTCGGGTCCACGATCCATCTGGATCTGAAGATCTTCAGGGAGAAATTCGGAGATCTTTATTATGGTGAGCAGTGTGATCTCTTGTTTCTTATTGTTGTACATATTTTGGTGATACCTGTGACAACTTATATTTTCACTCGTATCCCCCTATTTTATTTACAAGGCTGAGGGATGAGGTTCGGAATCTTCCATGTACATACAAGTGTCGGCATGATGCAGCTGCTGACTTGATCCATATTTATGCCTATACAAAATGTTTTTTTAGAGTTCGGGTGAGTCAAAATTACCTGGCAAAGTTCTCACAAGTTATATCTATATTTAATTTGATGAATGTGGATATGGTTTTCTTCTACCTTGACCAAGGGAATTTCCTTAATGCAGGCATACACAACTGTAACTTCTCCACCTGTATACATTAGTCCTCTTGACTTGGGCCCCAAATATACTGATAAGTTGGGGTCAGGCTTCCAGGAGTATTGCAAGACATATGGTGAAAACTATTGTTTGGGGCAGTTGATTTATTGGCATAACCAAACTAATGCTGAGCCAGATTGCAGCCTTGGAAGAGCAAGAAGAGGTTGTTTGTTGTTACCTGATATTGCATCCTTCTATGCCAAGGTTCAGAACCCATCACGTCAACGTGTCTATGGCCGTAGAACCCTCAAATTTATGGTTGCAAGAATGGTAAGTGCATGCCAAACTTATCCCTTGTTGTTAATTTGTCTTTTTCCTCTTCCCTCTGCAATGATTGTTTTGAGGTGTGCATGTACAGCACATTCCGACCCAGAGATGTCAACCGGTCTGGTTTGAATAACCTATAGCATGATCAGATATTTTCTGGGCCCACATGCCAGCTGGTGTAGTAGACCTGAGTGGATCCATCTGTGTTCCACATCACAATCTCAGTCCAATAACCTCCCGCCGTGGAAAGCTGAAGTTGTGGACTCCTGGCATCTTCCCTTTGTTTGCACCTAAGTAGAGACATGCCTTTTTAGGAACTTCCAAACATTACCTTTCCTTAACACAGCAAGGTGTTGGCTGAAATTTGCAATATGGGGGGAGTGGAAAGATATCATGAGAGCTCCAAAAATGGTATACACATTATACATATGCTAGCTTAAAAATCTCAGCATACTGGTTTTCGCCATACAGAATTTCTTTGGACCTATTAATTGGCTGGTCTTGATCCTGTAAAGCTTTTAGAATATGGGTATCTTGGGGGTCGTAGCTTCTAGGGTATTCTACAGGTCCCATGGCCCCTATCTACTATCTCCCTGGTAGAATGTTAGTGTAACAAATGTTAGAGATCAGTTAATCCAAATTGTTTGAAGGCTTGGGATGTGGTGATCCCTATGTGGCCTTAAGCTCAATTTTCTCTCTTATTCAACCTTGTTAAATTTGTTGATGTTTCATTCAAGGATACATTGCTTATTGGACTTGTTTTCTATAACAGGAGAAACAGCCTCAGAGACCATGGCCGAAAGACCGCATATGGTCTTTTAAGAGCACCCCACGAGTTTTTGGAAGTCCTATGCTAGATGCAGTTCTTAATAAGTCTCCACTGGACAAGGAAATGGTACATTGGCTGAAGACCAGATCACCAGTTTTCCACGCCACGTGGGACGAGTGAGCCAATAGGTTTATGGGTAGCAGTGGGATTGTTTACCGACCTATTTTGGTTTTGGAATGATTATTCTGTTTTATTTCATAGCTACCCCATAAAAATGGGAGCTGGTAATCATTTCAAAACATGTCCCTATTGTGCATCTCACACACCACCCATTCCTCTGTACAGTTAATTTCTGCTTTGTAATTTGTATTCATTATTTCAGTGGTAAAGCATTGGTTTCTTTTCCTTGTTTAAGTAAAATGTGAAAAAAAAGAAAAGGAAAATATTTGATTTTTAGGCTGCGTTTGGAAAGAGTGTAAATACCGGTTCAATGCATTATTGCATCCCGGTTCATAATTGCATACGTTTGGAGTCCTCGTAAAAACACCCTTAAGATCGATGTAAAATTGCAAATATGTCAGGATTTACATCGATCTTGGGGTGAAAAACTTCAGTTTTTTCGAAGTAAAACTTTACGCCCTTCCTTCATCGAGGGAAATAGGCGAGGAGTTTACCCTCATCCACCACCAGCACGATGCAGTCGAGTAATGGCGACTTCCGAGTCAAGTTTACCCTCATCTGAGCGTCTGTTTGAGTGTTCGAGGCTCTAGATATTTTCCTATTCAAGTCGTTGGCGACTTCTACATTCGATCTGAGTGTTTGTGTATGTAAATCTGCATCAATAGCCAAGGAATAGACGCTGATGCTGATCTGCGTCGATTTGAGTTTACCCTCTCCAGTCCACTCATTCTAATGCTGATCTGCAACTCTCTCTCCGACAGGCGACATTTTTCTCTCCAGTGGCTCTCTCTTTCCAATGGCTCTCTCTCTTCTGCGAACTGTGATCAATCATCCAAAGACAATCATTGTAATAAGTAATATACAACTTATTGTTCTTACGGATTAGATCTGTTAACGAGTTAATTTTTCATCGCATATATTCATTGATTAGTTAATAATCTTTTGTTTTAACATAGATTGTTGTTTGTGCAAACCGATTGGATTCCATTTCTTTGTGGCGTTTGATGATATCAAGTCTAATTTAAAATTAATCTAAACAACTTGAGTCTGTCCCCTTTATACATTAGGCACTTCCACCCATTTAATCAGATGGTGGAATCCCCTTTGTACAACAGTTTAAAGGGGACAGAATCCCACCCATTTCTTTGGAATCCCATCCATATAATCTCCCTTTGGAATCCCAATGTTTGATGATATTCAAGTCTAAAGGGGACAGAATATATGCAATCGGATTAGATCTACCTTAGGCACTTCCACCTGAAACGTTTCCACCCATCTGATTTCAAAGGTTAGGTTCAATCTAATCCATACCTCCCAAAACCAGGGAAGTCACAACATATGAGGCTTTGGTTTGGACAGTCACACCATATAAGGCTTGATTAATTTCAAATATTTTATTTTCACTATTAAAAAAAAATAGAATTGTTCAGTGTCCATGTAGTAGCATAAGCACATCCTCTATTCTTTATTTAAGACCAACAAACTAAATCATGCTTTCTGTAGCATGATGCATTTGTATTTGGTGGGAAACTAATGAAAGGTGTTTCCAAAATAATGGTTGGTAAAYGGAACAGATATTTTAATCTACTTTCATGATATTCATGATACAGTGGCAGAATTTCAGATAAAAAATATGAAGACAACTAAAAAGCTTGAACCATTATTAGAATCTTCAGCTTTCATATAACCCCACAACCTCCACTCAATTTTGTGGATGGCCAAAACCTCCTCTAGTCAGTGTGGTTTCTTAATTACAATATTTCAGTGACTAGAGATAGATTGGGATACACTAGTTTTCCAATAAAACATGATGAGCATCCTCTTATAGGCCATACAATAGGGTGGTAGTGGCAACTATAAATTTAATTTTTAATCGACTTTTTTGGATATGCTTAATGGGGTGCAAGTACCCCCAATATCAAGGTACCTCCATACTTGTAACTGAAATGGATTCAATTTCAATAGCAACAGGTTGCTTATTAGTTTGCTTCTTCTAGTCCGCATTAGCCATTTTATTGGAACTTTTTGTCTAAACTATATTGAGGTGGCATCATTTTATAGGAGACTACTAACCAGGTTGCTTATTAGTTTGCTTCTTATTGTAG